TCCAATTTGGCCAATATACTGACAATGAGAAACAAATCCAGTTTATAAATTCAACTAGACGTCCCGCCTCAATTTACTAGATATAAAATCTAATAAATGATAAGAGTTAGGACTAATGAAGGATCTCAGTTTAATAAAGCTTCCTTGTAAGCTCGTTCCTACGTCAGTCCGCATATTTTCCAATTCAGGCAATATAGCGGCAACGAGAAACTTTTTGCTCAATCTCAATTAGTTAACCGGTTGCGATTGAATGTTTCGCTACTTAGCGAATTCCCTAAAGACCTAATGAAATCTTTATAAGTACCGAGTGGTATTTCTCTGGACAGGATTGTAAGCCTTCCTTCTCTCAACGCTCTCCATGACAAAGGATAATAATAAGGTTCCGAACGTTTATTTCTCCGAGTCTTCAATCTAAATAATCTTTTATAAGCCCACAGAAAAAGCATTGAGTGATAAATCATACAAACACAGCAATAAATCAACTCAGGCATTAAAAAACTGTGGAATGGAACCAATACATATAAATATAAAGCATAATTACCGCAGTGATCCTAGAATTTCACACGGTTTAATAATAGACGATCTTTACATGAAAAACAAATATATACTAAGGTAGAATCTGCCCGCTTCCACGCAGAAAACTTGCGCATGCGTAGTCGGTCTGGAAACAGCTTCTAAAACTAGTTTTTACAATACGTTCAGTACAGATCCTCAGGGAGAACTCAGGGATTCACAGGGGCATCACATAGACTTTATGAGCGCAGCATGGCTCGCGTAACAATTGTATTGTATTGTATTGCATTGTATTGTATTGTAATGTATTGTATTGTATTGTATTGCATAGTCTTATATTGTAATGTATTGTATTGTATTGTATTGTATTGTATTGTATTGTATTGTATTGTATTGTATTGTATTGTATTGTATTGTATTGTATTGTATTGTATTGTATTGTATTTTGTATTGTATTGTATTGTATTGTTGTATTGTATTGTATTGTATTGTATTGTATTGTATTGTATTGTATTGTATGTAACCAAATAACTTTGTTTTCTCTCTTACGTGTGCATAAAATCAAAAAAGGGGAGCTACGTGGTCACCAAGTCCTACCAGTAATGACGCGAAAATTTAACCTGTTCCATCTGGTTAGTGGAGCGTGTCGTTAATAAAATAAAAGAAATGTATGATGCACAATGGAACCCTTTAAAGCTTTGTATTTTACAGATCGAATGAGATATCCATATTTTTACCTTGAAAACTGATTTTTTTCAATCATTTAAAAAAAACTGTAGGATAATAATATTTTTTAGAGTAAGAAGATGGCTGATGCTCAAGTTATATAATTTCAAGAGATGTTAGATACTTTCCTAGAGGATTTTTCCCAAGAGTATTTTCTCAAGTGGCAACTTCCCAAATGTGCAATTTCCCAAGCGGCAACTTCCCAAGTCTGTAAAAGCTGGGGCAATCGTCCCCCAGCCTGTTCTAGCCACAGTGCTCGGCCCCAATAGTCCATCCTAGCCGCAGCCCTCGGCCTCCATTGCACCCTGCGGCGCCTCAGAGGGCCTATAAGCCTAACCTTTGGGAAGTTGCCGTTTGCGAAATTGCACATCTGGGAAGTTGCCACATGAGAAAATACTCTTGGGAAAAATCCTCTGGGAAAGTATCTAACATCTCTTGAAATTATATAACTTGAGCATCAGCCATCTTCCCACTCTAAAAAATATTATTATCCTGCAGTTTTTTTTAAATGATAAAAATAATCAGTTTTCAAGGTAAAAATGTGGATATCTCATTCGATCTGTAAAGTACAAATGTGCAATTTCCCGAGCAGAAACTTCTCAAGTCTGACCTAGCCGGGGCAATCGTCCCCCAGCCTGTTCTAGCCACAGTGCTCGGCCCCAATAGTCCATCCTAGCCGCAGCCCTCGGCCTCCATTGCACCCTGCGGCGCCTCAGAGAGCCTATAAACCTAACCTTTAGGAAGTTGCCGTTTGGTAAATTGCACATCTGGGAAGTTGCCACTTGAGAAAAATCCTTTTGAAAAGTACCTATAACACCATTTCAAGATACTATTAAAACCACTTTGTTTATAATAAAATCAAATACAAATCAGATTTCTCGAATTTTATAAAAGAAGTAAGCAAAAAGCTTGCAAAATCTAGATTTATTTGAAGTTGGAAGATTAGAAAGTGCAAAATGTTGCTCAATATCCGCAAAACTGCATAAAAGTATGTTTAACAATGCAAACAATTTGCCCCGAACTCTTTTACTTTAAAGAGAACACAATAGATTTGTTTCACACGTGGGTGCATTATCAGGATAAGAAAGGGAAACAATTTGTTTTTAGTAATTATCTTAAGGGACTCTAGAAGTTTGACCTTTCGTTGCTATATTGGCAATGTTGGATTGACAATTTGAGTGCTGGTAAACTACAGTGTAGAGTTTCCACTCAATGTTTAGCCAAAAAAAAAGGATATCAAAGGTTTAAAGCAGGCAGTTTAGTATTTTACGGTCACTTCAATTTACGCCTACAGTCATTTTAAGCAGATTTTTTTTGGGTGCAACAAAAATAACTAATTCGTAAATTTTAGCGGAGTACTTGACAACAAAAATTTATTTGTAAATCAAGAAAAGTTAAAGATCAGTTATTTTTAAACGAATATTTTGTTGTTATAATTTTGATATGCAGAAATATATTCTTCCCCCCCCCCCCGCCTACTGCACCTTATAGTCTAAACCAAAGAATTCCTTTTTAAAAAAAGTTAAACCTATAAATAGTATATACTTCAAGTTTGTCGATTTTAACCTTGGTTTTAGAGATATAAAAAAAGAACTAAAGAATACTAAATATATTTTTAAATTTAGAATCTTCGAAAAATACTCTTTCTCTAAAATAAATATAAAAATCACCAGTAAAAATGTTTTATAAAATGATGGTTTATTCAATTATATTTTATATTAAATATACATAAAACATTAACGAATAAGATACAAAATTTTCAAAAGTGTTATTCTTTCTTTACTCATCAAACATTTTAGGATGTTTAAAAATGTCACGATGTGACGATTAATCACTCCAATTATACATACACTACAAAAGTAAAAATATATATTGGTATCCTCTTGTTGGTAAAAAAGCTTAACAAATGCTTCAATATCGCCGCCCGCCGACGGTTTGAGGCGGGCCTGGAAAAATCCGCAAAAATATTTGTCCTGAAAATCCGCAAAAGAAGTCCTGAAAATCTGGAGAAAAATGGCCAGACTTTTGCCGCACAATCATTCTTTACTTTGCTCTTGGATGAAAAATAAACAGGATTTTGCAGATTTTACATTTTGAGGATTTTTGCATTAAATGATACTGTATACAATATTAAGATAACAATGAGAAGGATTAGAATCAGTAAACTTTATATATTTATAAACAATTTTTATATTGCTAAACTTTTAAAGGTAAAAAAAATATCTAACGTTTAATAAAAATCACACTTTTTTTCTGTGCATTCAATCATGTAATTGTTTTTAAAAAAGAGTGGAAGTAGGAGTAAAAAAACGTATTCAAAATGGTTAAATCCGATAAAGTTAAATTGGAATGGAAAAGGGGGGAAGGGTTGGTAATAGGTATAAAAATAAAATCTAAATAAAAGTCTAAAGAAATTTAACAGCTATAAATAAATACTATTACGAAACGAAAGACTGTATATAAATTACACGGTTTTAAGCCACCTTCAATTTCTTTAGTTCAAAATTCAGTTGTCTTTCGTATAAACAAATTTAGTTAAGAAGACTTGTCAATTTTTCATTCAAATTAAATCCCCCGTCACCTTTTCAAAACTTAACTTATTTATATGAAGACTATTGAATTTGAAGAGCTCTGAAGTCGTGGACTATGTTTAATTTGGAAAAGTCGAGAACTGAAAAAACTATTCATTCAAAGAAAGGGTCAATTGTTAAAACATTTTTGAAGAAAAAAAACATTTCAATTAAAGTTTAGGATTCAGAAGAAAAAAATTTAACAAGCTTTGTTTTTAGGTAAAATTCTAAAAAGTGCTAAAATTTTGTTTATACCGTGGACTCACCCCTTAGAATATTTTCAAAACAAAAAAACTAAAAATTTTAAAATCCGTCAGAATTAAACAGGATGCGTTGAGCTGTCCTTCCGACGAAAATTATGAAAAAGAAAAAACATGAAAGGTATTTTCTTAAACTAAGATAACCTAGCTTGTTACCAAATATAAGAAAAAAGAGCTTTTAACAGAAAATATATTGATAAACTGCATGAAACGACAAGCATTCAAAGGAAAAAATTAGTATTTAAAGCAGCATAAAAATATTTGGCAGATTATTCATGTAGCTGAAATAGGAAATTATATTTTATCCAACCCTTGCTTTAAATACAAGTTAAAACTGTGTTATATAAATCCCCTGAATGTTAGGGAAAAGATATAAATTTAACCTTTTCATTCATGCTTTCCCGACTGCCTAAATATAGCCAAACCTGCTTGTAAAAAACTATTAAATATTTACCGCTTTGGAAAAGTGAACAACGCATCCAAACAGAAAAAGAAATGTTAGAAAACCCTAAAATTGGTTGAACCTTATTATTCGCCTTATTTGATTTTGGGATTTACAACTTTGACATCAACATTTGAAAATTTAAACAACATTGAAACCTCCACGATGTACACAGTACACATTACAAATATCAAAACATTAATGAATGGGAAAAACTAGAAACTCCAACGAAAAAAAAAACACCGGAAATCAGTTTTAAAAAATGGCTTAATTAGAGCCTCAAGATGTTGACTTTAACTGAATTTTTTAGAGAAAAAAATGATCTTTGGTAACAAAAAAAATCGAATCCTAAACTTAAAAAACAAGTTGGGCATGAAAATTTATGAATAATTGATGAATTTCAAAGGATGGAAAACAATACGACAACCTTAAACATTTACAAAATATAAATATAGATTAGAAAAACATACAAAATAATTTTTTTTCTTGATAGTTCTAGTTTTAAATTTTATGTTATCTTATGAAAATTTAAATCTATTGATTGACTACTGAACTGTTTCTATGTAAATGTGAGTTATATAATGTGCTTTTCTGCATATTTCCTTAGATTTTAAATGTGAAATAAAGCTAGAAATGTGTAGAGTATCTAGAGTATTTTTTAGATTAGTAATATAAAATATCATTCTGGACAGAAATGAGATTGCCCCGGAGAAATCAAGGCAAATGAAGGAGAGCTTCTCCTGCCAGCCTCAAATATTATAGAACATGTTAAATATTTTCTGACATTCAGACACTAGATATCATGATCCAATTGCGGTGAAAGGATTGGACTACAGGAAAGTTCCACTACACAAATGTTACTTTAGTGAAGGTTGACTGATTAACCTGGACTATCGGATTCTCTAGTTTGCGACCAGGACCCTCTGGCTGAACCCCTCGTTAGCGGAGGGCGGGGTGGGCAGGGAGTCAGTAACGGACACCATACTTTTTGTGGATGAAGATCTTGAATCTGGTCCCAAGCCCTGATCCTGATTGGCATTGAATCCAAGGGGTGTAGAGCTGGATATCCAATCTTCAAACCCTGAGAGCTGTCCACCAGGCTTCTGTACAGTGCCCGTAGAGCATAGGATATCCTGAAGGAAGGCATTTGTCTCTGTCTCGTTGTCCCAATCTGAGAACAAGTTAGAGTAGTCTGACAAGTTAAGACCGGGTGTTGGAGATGGGTTCAAGTTGTTTGAACCTGGTGTTGGAGAGAGCTGGTTCTGGTTGTATAATCCTCCCATCCCGAAATTGAAATCATTAGAATTGATTCCTCCACTTGGACTAGTCAAAGACTTGGGGGAATTGTTAAAGTTGAAATTGGAGTTTGTTGAGTTACTTCCTGAATAAAACCCATTCTGCCCATAGAATTTATCCTGGAAACCATTAGTAGGAGGTGCAGGGCTCTGGTGACCCGGAGCTACATATTGCCCTTGAACCTGCTGCTGTTGGATAGACTTCTGAAGTGCTCGTTGTTTGATGTAGTTGGAGAACTCAGTTGGGGACATTCTATTAGGCTTCTTGCTGTTTGTCTTCAGCTTGGTGCTCCCAAATTTGGTTTGAGCAAAAGAAGCAGCGGTGTAGACAACTGGCGGTTGACGTGGTTGGAAAGGATTCTGGGGATAGTTTACAACTGGTGGAGATGATGTTGCAATGATCGGAGGTGAAACAGGCCCACTGAGTGGAGAAGACCCTCCATAACTGCTTTGTGAAAGACTTAGGCCATTCAGAGATGCTGCAAGGGTATCAAATGACAGGAAGCTACGGACCTCTGGATTTATATCTTCTAAGTTCAATGCGCTATCCTTCTCACTGTACAGGATTTTTACAGAACCTTTCTCTCCCATCCTGTAGCTGACTTCTCCAGGGTCAATCCACACAGCAAGATCAGCAGGAAGATTTTCAATTATGTCACTCAAAGGATTTCCACTTTCAGCTGCAGCTCTATTAAGCACAGGATCAGCAGGATCAGTGATTTTTAGGCACCTGTAAGCTGATCCTTTAAAAGGTTTGTCTGGGTACCAGTGACCCTGAAACTTCTCCTTAAGCGCATTCTCAAGTTCTTCTCCGAATAAATTTACTCGTCTCCTTGGAAGCTTGTTGTAAAGGAAGGAGATGACAAACTTCAGTGCAACCTGTACCTCTGTATGCATACTGCTGAGTATTCAGTTATTGCAGAGTATTAACTTATGTCAGCTCTCTTTCCCAGCCCTGAGTTTGAGTATTTTCCCGTCTCTTGAATTTGTACTACAAGCCCAGGCTTGTTCTATCACAATTAGTTGTTGGGTCACTTGTAACTCAGCGCTCTCCAGATTTCAGTCTTATCCAGTTTCATGACAAAGTGCTGTTGGGCCTGCACTAGTACTCTGGGTGCTCGGACTGCATTGTAGATATCGATAGAATGCTCTGATATATGACCAGCCTCCTCCTTGGTCAGGAGCGTACTCGGATAGCAGACCTCCAGTCAAAGTCAGCTGAGCGGCCTCGAGAGAGGACGGAGGCCAGCCAGGCCTTGGCAGAGAGAGGGGGAGGGGAAACCAGGGGGAATCTTAACAACAAAGTTGTCAGGAAGGCCTGAACAGGCCTCAATGTCAAAATAAAAATATTCTTTTTATTTAATCACTAAATCTTGAAAACCCGTACAAATGTATTATAAAACTTTTTAAGATAAAATTTTTTATTATATTTATCCCTTTGGTCCCCTGTCTTGAAAACTAGTAGAACACAGATTATAATATATTAAAGATATTTAATTTCAATTTGAGGTGGCAAGGCATTGATGCAGTAAAGCCTTTTCTCAAGGTCAAGATCATAATATTTTCTAGATTTGGAGACTTATAATGGAGGCCTACCCACACGTGCGCAACGTGACTGCCCTGTAGAAAATGTTTTCAAATCTTATGACGTTAAAGTATTTTTTTAAAAGCTTTGCCAAGATGTTTTTACGTTCTCACAGCTATACACAGTTCTATTACATACATCACGCTATCTGATATATTTTAAATATTTAGGTAGGTAGGTAGGTCGGTAGGTAGGTAGGTAGGTCGGTAGGTAGGTAGGTAGGCAGGTAGTTAGGTAGGTAGGTAGGTAGGTAGGTAAGTAGGTAGGTAGGTAGGTAAGTAGGTAGGTAGGTAGATAGATAGGTAAGTAAGTAGGAAGTTAGTAAGTAGGTAGGTAGGTAGGTTGTTAGGTAAGTAATTAAGTAGATAGGTAAGTAAGTAGGTAGGTAAATAAGTAGGTATGTAGGTAGGTGGGGGGAAGGTAGGTTAGTAGGTAAGTAGGCAGTTAGGTAGGTAGGTAGGTAGGAAGGTAGGTAGGTAGGTAGGTAGGTAGGTAGGTAGGTTAGGTAGGTAGGTAGGAAGGTAGGGAGGGAGGTAGTTAGGTAGGTAGGTAAAAGTAGGTGGTGAGGCAGGTAGGGAGGTAGGAAGGTAGGTAGGTAGGTATATAGATAGCTAAATGGGTAAAATTTAGTAAAAATACAGTTGGTTAGGCAATAAAATAGTTAGATAGTCAAATAAACAGATATTTATATATATATATATAGTTAGATAGTTAGATAACTAATAGTTAGACAAATTCTATCAAATAAAAGGCTACCTTTCCTACTTTTCAGCTCTTACCTACCTTTATTTATATCCTATTATATATACAGCCACATCAATCACATTAACTATATTTATGCAATTTTAAGAAACTGGATTTATTTGAATCATAATGCATAATATTATATAGTACTATCGAAAAAAAAAAAATTTTTTATATCGAAATTTTTTATTAGTCTATGACCCCCAGGGTACCAATGGCTTCCATCAAAAAAAGTCAGTCAATTTGGTCCAGCCGTTTGGCCAGCTGAAGGTAACATATTCATACATACATATACATACATACATAAATTTACAAATATACATATATATATGACCGAAGAGCTTTATTATAAAGATATAAGCTTATGTGTATAAAATCTTAATTTTGAAACTTTTTGTTTTTGCCTTCTTCCCCTCCCCCCTCACCCGAAAAGCTTTATTTCAATTTTAGATTAAATATTCAAGTTAATTAAATGATTTAGTTACTTTTTGTCAAAATAGAAAAATTTTAGCTGGGGGTGTAATTGCTCCCAGGATTCTAGGGAGGGGGGGGGGGGAATTACCCCCAATAACCCCCATAGCTACGCCAATGGATAGTTAGATGAACAGTTGGATAGATTAAAGATATACTAATAGATAAATTTATATTTTATTCATATATTTATTCAACTACAAAGCATGAGATATTACAAATAAGCAATCACAATTTACTTTGCAGTTTGGACCCGTCTAACCAGGGTTGGTTGTTTTGAGTGGTTGGCCCGAAGTTAATTAACGATACTGAATGTGATTACAGATATCAAGTTATGTTTTTGGAGAGGTAAGGAGTTGATTGGAAGGAAGGAGATTGTCAGGTGATCTGTGGCAGGGTGAGATCAGAGGGATTTTTATGTAGAGATAAATTAAAATACAGGGTGTTAATGATAGTAGTTACAAAAACAGAAATAAGCTAATAAAGTTTCAGTAATTTTAGTTTTTTTATATAAAATTTCTTCACACGATATTCATCTAGGTTTTTTTGCATTTAAACTTCTCATAATTCTTAAGATAAATATTGATTACTCTTTATTTAAATATTTTTGTTGAACACAATTTTACTTATAAATATTCGANCCCCCCCCCCCCTCCCTTACAAAATATTACATTTGTGCCTTTGTCGTTGATTTAAAGGTTGTCTTTTCAAGCAAAGGTGTGACTACATAACTATAAATTCTGTGACAAGTTAAAGATTTTACAAAAAAAATGTCGTCTTTGAAACTGTTTTATAAAAGTTTTTTCTTCATTTAACTTTTTTATTTCGTGCGCAACCAACTTGTATTACTTTGATAGTTGTAATAATAAAGTATCATCATCACGGAAAACCTTCAACAAAATAAATGGAAAAAAATACGCAAAAAAAGCTTCCCCCTCGCCTCTCTGCTTTCTGTACACTGCAGTAAGCTTGACATTGAAATCTAACTAAGGTCAGTGTAGCATTAGTTAGAAGTACTAATTATGTTAACCCTAGTACGGTTGGGCTTCTTTTGTCCAGAGGGTGGGGTTGAGGTTTCCGTCACCCTTATGCTGTTTTTTACACTTTTTGGGGGAGGTTTACCAAAAATATAAAAGACATTTATAAAACCCATGTCGTAGACCTTAGATATATTAAACTATGGATTCTGTTAGATAAAATCTGTTAAATCAAGTTTGAAAATATCAATTTCCTTATATTTACTTTTTCTTCAACCACCCTCATTTCACTATACCTTCCCCCATATCCAATCTCCCCCCTCAAGAACAAAATGAGGATACTTTGCCTATCCCTGATTTGCAAATAAAAACTATTAAAACAAGTATTTTTTAACTTTATTTGTTTAGTAATTTAAGTTTACTGGAGACTGCAGATGACAACTAATTTAAAGATATAAACTTGACTGCACTCATTAATGCAATTTGCTTCTCTGTCTGTTTGTTTGGTTGTGTCTGAAGCATCCACACCTACGGAAGGTAAAAAAATGTTGCCTGTAAAAATTGAATACAAAATAAAAAATCTATAAAATTTAAAAATTGTTTGTAAAAAGTACGAAAATTAATGGTAAATTAAATATAGATTTTTATGTTTTTTGTTTCATAAAAGAATCTCTGTTTATATTTAACCAGCTGTAACGATCTCCGTTGCTTCTGGAATCTTTAAATATCACCCAATACACGATCGGTAGAAAACGATCTTCTGCGCAAAGTCGGTTAATCTTCGTGATTATATAAGGTCGTTATGTATTTTTTGTTTTTCTATTGTTATAACTCTCTATTAACATACACATCAGCAGCAAACGAGGAAGATCAGGAATGAAAAAAAAACGATACTAAAAGAACAGCAGAAGGCCACAGACGTGTGACCAGTTCTGAAAATCATGAAATAAAATCAGCATTTACAAGAATGCTATAACTATATGATTAAAAAATAAAACTTTTTAAATACTCCTTTGCACTCTTACCATTAAAGTTAGAAGAGTTAGAAGTATATTTAATTTAATTTATCGTTGGACTAAGGACATGTATCACACTCCCCTATCTCAACTCTAGGGACATGTATCACACTCCCCTATCTCAACTCTAAGGACATGTATCACACTCCCCTATCTCAACTCTAAGGGACATGTATCACACTCCCCTATCTCAACTCTAGGGACATGTATCACACTCCCCTATCTCAACTCTAGGGACATGTATCACACTCCCCTATCTCAACTCTAATGGCAAAATGATATGCCTAATTCATAAAAATAAAAATAGCCCAACCAGGATAGGGATTAAAACAAAACTTTCTTTATAAACTTATTCGACTTAAAACCAAGCTAAGAACCTGTGCCGGTGCGTGGTATTACCAAGTGCGCCAACAAAAATTTGAGGCAAATCGGACACACAAAGAAGTAAACAGGGATTACTACTTTTTTTGAATAGATAAATATTTCTGAGTGAAAGTATATAAAGATTGGTACTGTCTCCATTAAAATATTACAAAACAACATAATCAATTATTTATAGTATTTTTCAGTGATAATGAAATAATAAGATAATATTTACTAGCTTGGAAACCCAGCTTTTCCTGGAAATCGTCACTAAGAACATTCCCGTGGTTCTACCAAGTTCTCTAATCAAATGTTAAAGCCTATTGTTTCAGAGCTTTTAAAATAAACAGAGATTACTACTTATCTATATAATAAAACAAGACATTCGTATATATATATATATATAGCCGGCCAAACGGCTGGACCGATTGGGCTGAATTTTTTCGAAGGAACCCATGGGTATCCCGGGGCTAACATCGATACAAAAATTAGATTTTTTTTTTCACGCGCAACGCCGGGCCTGTATTGATTTCCCTTGGAATGACCGGTTTCAAACTACTCTCACTTTAATTTACTGTGTTTTCTTTAATTCTTTATTCAGATGATGTTACTTGGTAGAAGAGTTTGGATGTTTAACTGAAATAGATTGAAGTATTATAGCAACAATATAACATTGATAAGAACAATTTTTATAATGATTTCATATAATTACTTACACGAATGTCATCTATTAAGAAAGAAATCAAAGTAAGTTTACATCAGCGTCCATGGTTGGTTTAGGCCTTACTGAAGCTATACTCAGGATCCAGGCATACATACGTGCGTGCGCGCAGCAATTGTACATATTATATATAGTAAAATGGGAATAGATCAAATGCCTAATTTCAAAACAGGCCCTTCCGCTAATCTTTTATATAAAGATTAACAGATATTAGGAATATCTCACAATTTTTTACATCTCTTACATACTGTTCATTATTTTGATCAATATTTTCGTAATATGAAAATGCTTTCTATAGTTCGATATAATATGAACAGACATAATCAAACCCATCCAATTTAAAATAAAGTTTTTAATATAAGTAGCAAATATCAAATAATCAAATCATAACAATGGATCATTGCATGACACCAATATCAAAACTGGTACAGAAAACTCTGAATACGATTACATTCAAATATATCATGCAAAAAACTGTCCATGCATTAATATAGTTCAATCGGAATTCCGTTGCGCGGATTGGACAGAATTGCGTGAAATTATGTTCGTATTACTCGTAACTGTGAGGATTTTCGCAAAATTGCAAGTAATTGTGCTCTCATTGTGCGGAATTGTGCAGAAATGAGCGAAATTTCGCGGAATTTTGAGAAATTGTTCGGAAAGTAGCGGAATTGCAAGGAAATGTGCCGATAAACTACTGGGGGTTGATGAAGCAGTATGAGGGGGGAAGGAGTACTTTTCAGTATTCTAAAGTTAAATTACATTTTGACCTTACATATACTGACTGTAGTGCCCAGCCAAGAATAATAATTAAGAGTTTTCCGCTCAAAATGTTTAAATTGAAGTTAAATATGATTTAGGTCTGACAGATATCAGACTCAGGCGACGGTAAAAATGTTTACATTTTTCTTAAATCGCAGTTACACCAGCAAAATATTGAGAAGATGATTAAGGCAGTCGAATACAGGCATCCAGGCAGTCAGGGGCTGCATCAAGGCAGTTAGAAAACTGCATTAAAGCAGTTAAAACTGCATAAAGGCAGTGAGGAAGAGTATTAGACCAGTTTAAAACTGCATTCCTGAAATGAGTTCAAGGTACAAGAATTATGATCATGAAGGGCCTTAAAGCGTATTTTCAAGTGACCCTTCCTGCAAAGACGGAAATGTCCGATTCAAAACAGTACCCTCCTTTGACTGATAAAGTATGAATTAGATAATTTGAAATACTGAATTCTCTCCTGAAAAAAAGAAACAATTGCACTGTTTTTTATAACTTATAGAAAGTGTAGAATTAATAACTTCTAAATAAATATTTGTAGAGGTACCGGTGTGAATCGAGATCGCAATCCTTTGCATGGAGGGTAACTTTAGATTACGCTTACAGTCCCTTGAAAATATTTTAGATTACGCTTACAGTCCCTTGAAAATATTTAGATTACGCTTACAGTCCCTTGAAAATACTTTAGATTACGCTTACAGACCCTTGAAAATNAGGTTGTCGTTAACGATCGTTAACGAAGGGTCGTCGTTAACGATCGTTAACGAAGGTCCGTCGTTAACGAAGGGTCGTCGTTAACGATCGTTAACAAAACGACGAATTTTATAAAAACGATCATTTTGAAAAACGATCGTTTTTAAAAACGAGCGTTTTGAAAAACGATCGTTTTAAAAACGACCATTTTTAAAAAAAGAACTTTTTAAAAAACGATCGTTTTTAAAAACGATCGTTTCGTTTTAGATTTTTCGTCGTCGTTATCATAACGAAACGATCGTTTTTCTGAAAAATGAAAACGTTAACATCCCTAGGTCCATGTAACGAGTTCATACTAAGAAATATCATTTACTCTCCAAAAAATTAGAATGGGTGGAAATTAAAACCCCCCGGCTCCCAGGGATTTAATGATAAATCCAAGGGCGTAGCGAAGTAAATGAAACTGTGAAGCGTCGCAACGCCTTGGGCTTTGATTTTACCGCTCTAACTCACTTATGCTTTTCTGTAGCCCTTTACATGTACATTTTAGCACTTTTCAATATTTGTTTTTAAAATTGGTTATCAAGATGAAATTAGCAAAATTCTCATAGAATTTTATTATTGACACACTGTTCGCCATCTTTGTTATTGTTTTTGATAAAACTAGTTTCTCCGCTGTTTTAACCTAACATTGCAAAAAATAGATGCAGGCAGCCGTAGTACATTTGAATTTCCTAGCCGGGTCAACCTTTTCGGTCCCAGTTTGTACTGTACCTAGCTCTATGGACAGGACTAGCCGGTACAGCAAGATTGACGTGGTCAGATATGCTTCATATAGGTTCAATTTACTTTTCCTAAAGGGGCAGAGGTGCGTGGCAACCCCACTCCAATATATTTCACATCAATCTCACCAGAAGGGGATTAGCCCGATTCACAATGGTACCTTTAAATCTACGTCAAAACAAAATGACGATTCTTTTAAGTTTTATTTCTGAATTCAATCAAACATAGAAAAACCAAAATACCTCTCTTGTTATAAAAAGTACGGTACGGATGGATAGGACATATATCGCTTTATTTTGTGGTTCAGCTGAAAATACGTTGACAGTCCCTTTAAAATTATATCTTTTCCTAGGACTGGGTCTCGCCAAAGCCTGGATAAACTAAGATCTGGGATAGATAAATACGACCGGGGTTTAAACACTCTTACAGCAGATATAAGGTTAGTTTTTGTTAAACAGGACCGGGGTTTAAACACTCTTACAGCAGATATAAGCTTAGTTTTTATTAAACAGGACCGGGGTTTAAAAACTCTTACAGCAGATATAAGCTTAGTTTTTATTAAACAGGACCGGGGTTTAAACACTCTTACAGCAGATATAAGGTTAGTTTTTATTAAACAGGACCGAGGTTTAAACACTCTTACAGCAGATATAAGGTTAGCGAGGAGGAGCTTTATCTTAAACTAAACTTAACTATACTAGACTAGACTAAACTAAACTAAACTTAACTTAACTAAACTAGACTAGACTAAACTAAACTAAACTAAACTAAACTAAACTAAACTAAACTAAACTAAACTAAACTAAACTAAACTAAACTGAACTAAATTAAACTAAACTAAACTAAACTAAACTTAACTAAACTAAACTAAACTGAACTAAACTAAACTAAACTAAACTAAACTAAACTAAACTAAACTAAACGAAACTAAACTGAACTAAACTAAACTAAACTAAACTAAACTAAACTAAACTAAACTAAACTAAACTAAACTAAAGCAGCAGGTTTACATAAAACCTTTTAGCTCTTATTTTTAGAAGATTAATTATTTCCGTTGAGAAAACAAAAAGAAATAAAAATATTGTCTGCTTGCCTGAGATGATTTGTCACTTTTGTCTTAGTTTCAGACAAAACTGGGATAGATAGGGATGTGCAACGTTTCGATCAATTAACAAAAGTTAATGGAAAATGTCGATTGTTTTTTTTAATTTAAAAGAAAATTAAAAATAACCAATTTATACACTTTAAAATGATGAATCGGAATGTGATTTTTTTGTAATTAAAATCAAAAACCTGTTATGGCACATTTGTGTTAATCAACCGTTAATTTTCATTTTTTAACCTCACATTTAGCTATTAGTTAATTGAGCGATTATTTAAAGGGGTCGGTTGGGAACGTTTTTTTACGAAACCCTCCATTTATAGAGGGAAGTGCCCGAGTCACACCGGTTTTCCGCTTCCTAAACAAAATGGACAAAATTGTCAAAATGCAACACTTTTTAAACTAGAAAAAAACGACAATATCTTTCCAATTATTGATCAGACAAAGATGTTTAGGGTACCGTTGTGAATAAAATATGCCACTCTATCCGTGGCGGGTCTGTCTGTTTGTTTGTTTGTATCCAATAAACGTCAAAACGGCTGAACTGATCGAGCCCAAATTGTGTGTGGGACCTCACGTGACCCCACGGAAGGTTTATGAATGATCAAAATTTTAAAAAGTTGTGTTTAACAGTTTTTTATTTATGTAAAATTTTGAAAATGCGCAAAAAAATATTTTGAAATCAGCAAACATTTTTGTTTTGTTTTTGTAACTCATTGCTTACAGATAAAGCCACTACTAGAAGTTTAAATAGAAGCCTAGTGTCATAAATTCTGTTAACATTCAACGAACGAATTGAAATAGTACTAACATGCCCAGGCCTAGGTCTGGCCGTCAAGTGTGCAACATTTTGCATAATTATAATTTTGTTATTTTAGCTTTTCATAATTGGTGTTACTTTGCAGAAAAGTTGAAAACTTCTACAGCGAACTGCAGAAAACACATTCAAAAACATTTAATGCATGTCAAAAGAACGGAATAAGGTAAAAATATGAAGTAAACGATTTTTAAATAGAAAATAATTAAAGAATAGGTTTCAACTTTACTAATGAAACTCTTGAACAAATATTTTTTAAAGTTTTAATAAATTGGCATTGAAAGAAAAAATTTAACCGTCTTTTGAAGTGCCATCACTTTCTAAGAAACAGCGGCAATAGTTTGAAAAATCTTGGGAAAGTGAAATTATTTAAAATTTCGTTTCTTAGATAACATTCTTTCAGGGTTCAGAAGTAATAAATATAACATCGGCAATTTCTTCTGTTTCAAAACAGTTGGACTTTTCGCAAGCTTTGGAATAAAAATTAAAGAATTTAAAAGATGTATTTTTTTAAATTTACTAATTTGACGCGTAATTCTAGTGTGTGACATGTAAATGTCAATATGTAAATATTTTGAACGTAAAATTCATCAACAGATATAAAAATAGAATGCTCTAATCAAGGTACTAATGCAAGGAAAGTTATTTCAGAGGGGTGCGCCTTTTTTGTACTGCAGTGAACTGTCTTTGGGCGGAAAATTAATTACAAGACGGATGTCACAGCCTGACATGGAATCCATTTTCACAAATAAAATCAATGAAATATTCTGGTATTAGGAAAATATTATGTGAATTATCAAAATTATCAAAATTTAAGGCTTTTAACCTCCTCGGATACTAAACAAACACTGATTCATCTATTCTTGTTTACAAATTCCGCCCAGAGAACTGGTTTCAATTATACGCAGAGTATACGCGACCGCAATTAACTTTCCTTGCATTAGTGCCTTGGCTCTAATGCCTAAGTGTAGAATTAATTTAAAATATTCCTTTAAATAATAAACTTTTTAGCAAGAATATCAATGATAGGTTTAAAGTTACAGTGAGTCAATTGAAATTTCATCATTATAAAATTATTTCTCCAACATCATCAAATGAATAAATAGAAAACTTCAATGTCAGAAATCAAGATGCAGATCAAAAATATATCATTAAATAAATCTGTACTTTCAGGGTCCTATCTTCCCAAGATATTAGTCCCCTCCTGTCACCCCCTCCCCATTCACCCCTCCCCACCTCACATTCAACTTCTCTCACGTTGAAATACCCAAGTTATGTGAAGGGTACTGTGGTGTATCAAACATGCCCCTCTTTATATTACGTCGACAGTATTAATATAACTTTCATATTTTACGCAAGCAATATTTCCGAATTCGAGTTTTTTCTTCAAATTTTTTCTTGCTCAAAAATTGATTGACCATTGACAGATCTGCCTGTTTTTTTAGATTATTCATAAAGTTGGCTAAAGCCATAGTTTAATTAAAATAACAGATAGAACACTAGATGTCGACTTTTCAAGATTTAAGAGTTTTCGGTTCACAATAGCTCTGAGGTCTGCAAAAATTGTAAACGAAAAATGAAATAACGTGAACAGTTCCTTTCATGAGTAGATAAATTTTTTTTCTTTTGTTTAGAGAAGATTTGAGCTGTGGGAAACCAATGATATCCAGTATTACAGGTAATCATATATGTTTAGAGAAGATTTGAGCTGTGGGAAACCAATGATATCCAGTATTACAGGTAATCATATATGTGTAGAGAAGATTTGAGCTGTTGGAAACCAATGATATCCAGTATTACAGGTAATCATATATGTTTATGAAGATTTGAGCTGTGGGAAACCAATAATATACAGTATTACAGGTAATCATATATGTTTAGAGAAGATTTGAGCTGTGGGAAACCAAAAATATACAGTATTACAGGTAATCATATATGTTTAGAGAAGATTTGAGCTGTGGAAAACCAATGATATCCAGTATTATAGGTAATCATATATGTTTTAAAAAGATTTGAGCTGTGGAAAACCAATGATATCCAGTATTACAGGTAATCATATATGTTTAGAGAAGATTTGAGCTGTGGGAAACCAATAATATCCAGTATTACAGGTAATCATATCTGTTATAAAAAGATTTATGCTGTGGAAAACCAATGATCTCCAGTATTACAGGTAATCATATATGTTTAGAGAAGATTTGAGCTGTGGGAAACCAATGATATCCAGTATTACAGGTAATCATATATGTTTAGAGAAGATTTGAGCTGTGGGACCAATGATATCCAGTATTACAGGTAATCATATATGTTTAGAGAAGATTTGAGCTGTGGGAAACCAATGATATCCAGTATTACAGGTAATCATATGCCTTCAGTATAATACGTATAATTTCAAATAGAAGTAACCGAACGCCTCTAACTCTCTGGTTAGTCCTGGGTGAGGCATTTCTTATGTACAACAGTACCCTTAAAGTTTTATATATTCAATGATGTGGAATATATCATTGTTTTTCTGGCTTAAAAATTTTAAAAATTTCCTTAATTGTGCAGTGCAATGCACTCTGCAGAAACTATATATATAAAGTTTTGCAGTATCTAAAGTTGTAAACTTCTAATATCCCTGTTTGTTTGGATGTCCAATCATAACTCAGGAAACACTTGACCGATTTGTCATAAATTTTGGTTGGGAAGCTCGAGAGACCCGCGGTAATGTTTTTAGCTTGGTTTTGAGATTCTTATTTGAGTGTGTCAAAATCGTAATTTACAACCGAGGGCGGGTAAACGTCGGGAGTAACTTTGAGTATAACTGGGTTCCCAAGCTAGTATAATGTATAGCTCTACCAGTAGAACCCAGGTTTATGAGATGTTTACTCTATAAATATCTCTATTATCAGAACCCTGGTTTATGAGATGTTTACTCTATAAACATCTCTATTTTCAGAACCAAGGTTTACAAGATGTTTACTCTATAAATATCTCTATCATCAGAACCCATGTTTACGAGATGTGCACTCTAAAAATATCTCTATTTTCAGAACCAAGGTTTACGAGATGTTTACTCTATAAATATCTCTATTTTCAGAACCATGGTTTACGAAATGCTTGCTCTATAAATATCTCTATTTTCAAAACCAAGGTTTACGAGATGTTTACTCTATAAATATCTCTATTATCAGAACCCAGGTTTACGAGATGTTTACTCTTTAAATATCTCTATTTTCAGAACCAAGGTTTACGAGATGTTTACTCTATAAATATCTCTATTTTCAGAACCAAGGTTTACGAGATGTTTACTCTATAAATATCTCTATTTTCAGAACCAAGGTTTACGAGATGTTTACTTTATAAATATCTCTATTTTCAGAACCAAAGTTTACGAGATGTTTACTTTATAAATATCTCTATTTTCAGAACCAAGTTTTACGAGACGATACATCGAATCCCGAGAATACAGTGTTGGGTCTAGGGGAGAAGGTAGGACTGGGCAAAATTCCGTTAAAGGGAGTGTTCGCGAAAAAATGCGATAGTGGCCAAATTCGAATAAAAATTTGATTCAATCGCTAATAGCTTTCCTTCTATCTATAAAGCCTGAAAGTTAAGAGCCAAGGGCAATGTAAATTCCGTAAAAGTGGCAAACAGTAAATTATTTATAACTTATCAGAATTTTTTGAAAATTAACGTAAGATTCTGTTTATAAAAGAATGGTTAATAACGCACATTACTCGTTAGGCCTTCCTTAATTTCTAACTGTTAAAGTGAGTGTCTGGCTAGACATGGTAGTTGAGCTGAGAATACAGTCTTGGAGAGAAATGTTTAAGATATCATTTGAGACCTAAAAGACGTTTGTTCGTTTGTAATTTCTTACTAAGAGTACAAAATCGATTTTTAAAATCCTCTTTGGCGCCCGGCCGGTCAGACAGGTTGTAGCAAGGCACAACCTGCTGGGTATCCGTGCTGCGTATAAACCTGCTGGGCAACCCATGCTGAATCACAACCCTCCTGGATGCAAGCGCCAAAGAGGATTTTAAGGATCGATTTTGCATTCTTAGCTCAACTACTATGTCTAGCCAGACACACCTTTTAAGCGAGAGAATTAAAAAATATAGTAAGATGCCCAGCCCAAGGAGAGGGAGGTTGGAACAGGATAAACAGGAGTCCTGGAGAACGATACCAGACCAGAACCCGGAGTGAGGTTTCTCCTTGGGTCCAGCAAAAATACAGGAAACAGAGCCATCTTGGAAAAGTATTTAACATTTAATTGTTTATTATGATTTTATGAATCAATTCATCGCGAATATGGGCGTACAAAGGAATTTATCCAGGGAGAGGCTGAAATTTAACCACAAATTTTAAAGATCCAAGGGGGCTGAGTCCCAATATTCCCCCCCCCCCTGTGTACATCCCTGCAAACGAATTATGATAATCTTTTACTTTTCCAGTATTTTTACATTCTACGAAAAATGACGACAGACGACTGGAAATAAAGTTCTAAAACAAAACCCATTATCTTCTTCAATGTATATTATTATCCAGGGGGCGGAAACGTCATGTGCATGTGTGTCTGTACCAAAAAAGTTTGTGAGAGGAAGACCGAACCGAAGGTGTGTTCTGTAGGTATATACAGTACATAAGAATCTCGGTATTTGTACAGTCTAGGAGAGTACATTTGTTTATTGTTAATTGTTTACTTAAAAATAAGTTTAATATACATGTAATATATTTTTTACATATTTCTAAGTCAACACTTTAAAGTAAACTTTCATGCAAAGAATATAATTTGGTTAAAGTTTACAATGAACTACTCGTTATTCAAGTTTAATTATAATTGACAACATTGTTCTGCATTTTCCTTGACTATAGTCATGTTGTTTGTCTGTACCACAAGAGTGTGTGTAAGGAATACCGAACTCGTCCGCAAAGCAGTGTCACTGGCTTTCTCATGCCAGACCAGCGCCATTTCCTTTCCCTTTATTCCTTTTCCCTGATATTATCCTAGAAGGCTTAAATGATTCTTAAAATTATCATTTTTCAGTTTAAATTCTGGCACCATGAACTAAGCAAATGCATAAGACTCAACCTAATTTGTTTTTTTGTAACTCAGGATTGAGAGTTGGCTGGCTTACATTTACAGATGGGCCTCATTTTTGTAAGAACAAAAATTTTCAAAACGGACAAATATTTTTTAAACAATGGTATCGTTCAGAAAAATCAATGAACGTTGGCCTAACAAAAAAAAATCTCACTGAAACTCTGAACTAACGATTTTTATTTTACTTTAATAATACTCTAACTAACTCTAATAGTACTATGTTTTTTCTATGGGAACACTAGTTTATTTGAAAACCATAGTACTTTAATAGTACTCTAATAGTACTCTAATAGTAATCTAATTTAATAGTACTCTAACAGTACTCTGATAGTAATCTAATACTACTATGTTTTTATCTATGGGAACACCTTATTAGTATTTTAATGGTAACATCAATTTATTTGGAAACCATAGTACTTTAATAGTACTCTAATAGTACTCTAATAGTACTCAAATAGTACCCTAATAGTACTCTAATAGTACTCTATTAGTACTCTGATAGTAATCTAATATGTAGTATTATGTTTTTATCTATGGGAACACCTTATTAGTATTTTATTGGTAACATCAATTTATTTGGAAACCATAGTACTTTAATAGTACTCTAATAGTACTCTAATAGTACTCTAATAGTACCCTAATAGTACTCTAATAGTACTCTATTAGTACTCTGATAGTAATCTAATAGTATTATGTTTTTATCTAAGGGAACACCTTATTAGTATTTAATTGGTAACATCAATTTATTTGGAAACCATAGTACTATAATAGTATTCTAATAGTACTCTAATAGTACTCTAATAGTACCCTAATAGTACTCTAATAGTACTCTGATAGTACTCTAATAGTACTCTAATAGTACTCTAATAGTACTCTGATAGTAATCTAATAGTACTCTAATAGTACTCTAATAGTACTCTAATAGTACTCTATTAGTACTATGTTTTTATCTATGGGAACACCTTATTAGTATTATATTGATAACATCAATTTATTTGGAAACCATAGTACTATAATAGTATTCCAATAGTACTCTTATAGTACTCTAATAGTACTCTAATAGTAATCTAATAGTACTCTAATAGTACTCTAATAGTATTCTGATAGTAATCTAATAGTACTCTAATAGTACTCTAATAGTAATCTAATAGTAGTCTAATAGTACTCTAATAGTACTCTAATAGTACTCTAATAGTACTCTAATAGTACTCTGATAGTACTCTAATATTACTTTAATAGTGCTCTAATTGTACTCTAATAGTACTTAAATAGTATTTTGTTAGTACTCTAATAGTACTCTAATAGTACTCTAATAGTACTCTAATAGTACTTTAATAGTGATCTAATATTACTCTAAAAGTACTCTAATAGTATTCTGATAGTACTTTAATAGTACTCTAATAGTACTCTAATAGTACCCTAATAGTACTCTGATAGTAATCTAATAGTACTATGTTTTTATCTATGGGAACACCTTATTTGCATTATATTGGTAACATTAATTTATTTTGAAACCATAGTACGTAAAAAGTACTCTAATAGTACTGTAAAAGTACTCTAATAGTACTCTAATAGTACTCTAATAGTACTCTAATAGTACTCTAATAGTACTCTAATAGTACTCTAATAGTACTCTAATAGTAGTCTCATAGTACTCTAATAGTACCCTTATAGTACTTTAATAGTACTCTAATAATACTCTAAAAGTACTCTAATAGTACCCTAATAGTACTCTAATAGTACTCTAGTAGTACTCTGAGAGTAATCTAATAGTACTATGTTTTTATCTATGGGAACACCTTATTTGTATTATATTGGTAACATTAATTTATTTTGAAACCATAGTACGTAAATAGTACTCTAATAGTGCACTACTAGTGCTCTAATAGTACTGTAATAGTACTCTAATAGTACTCTAATAGTACTCTAATAGTACTCTAATAGTACTTTAATAGTACTCTAATAATACTTTAATAGTACTTTAATAGTACTCTGATAGTACTCTAATAGTACTCTAATAGTACTCTAATAGTACTCTAATAGTACTTTAATAGTACTCTAATAATACTTTAATAGTACTTTAATAGTACTCTAATAGTACTCTAACAGTACTCTAATAGTACTCTGATAGTAATCTAATAGTACTCTTATAGTACTCTAATAGTACTCTAATAGTACTCTAATAGTACTCTTATAGTACTCTAATAGTACTCTAATAGTACTCTAATAGTACTCTTATAGAACTCTAATAGTACTCTAATAGTAATCTAATAGTACTCTTATAGTACTCTAATAGTACTCTAATAGTGCTTTCAAAGTACTCTAATAGTACTCTAATAGTACTCTAATAGTACTCTAATAGTACTCTAATAGTACTCAAATAGTACTCTGATAGTAATCTAATAGTACTCTAATAGTACTCTAATAGTACTCTAATAGTAATATAATCTAATAGTACTCTATTAGTACTCTGATAGTACTCTAATAGTACTCTAATAGTACTCTAATAGTAATCTAATCTAATAGTACTCTAATAGTACTCTAATAGTACTCTAATAGTAATCTAATCTAATAGTACTCTATTAGTACTCTGATAGTAATCTAATAGTATTATGTTTTTATCTATGGGAACATCTTATTAGTATTATATTGGTAACATCAATTTATTTGGAAACCATAGTACTATAATAGTATTCTAATAGTACTCTAATAGTACTCTAATAGTACTCTTATAGTACTCTAATATTACTCTAATAGTACTCTAATAGTACTCTAATAGTACTCTAATATTACTCTAATAGTACTCTAATAGTACTCTAATAGTACTCTAACAGTTCTCTAATAGTACTCTAATGGTACTTAAATAGTATTTTGTTAGTATTTTGTTAGTACTCTAATAGTACTTTAATAGTACTCTAATAGTACTCTAATAGTGCACTACTAGTGCTCTGATAGTACTCTAATAGTATTCCAATAGTACTCTAGCAGTACTCTAATAGTACTCTTATAGTACTCTAATAGTACTCTGATAGTACTCTAATAGTACTCTAATCTAATAGTACTCTAATAGTACTCTAATCTAATAGTACTCTAATAGTACTCTAATCTAATAGTACTCTAATAGTACTCTAAGTAATTTTTCTTAAATATCTGTTGCAGAGAAAAGTATAAAACTCCAAATTAGAAACTCTCATTCAAGAAATATTTCAAAAGAAAAGTTTTATCATTAGCTGGGGGAGTCCTTCATAGTGATGGAAACTGTTGGTTTTAGTTGATAGTTCTTTCACACAACATTAAGATTTAAACAGCTGATTCATTTATATTAAGGTTAAAATCTAGTTAGTCAGCTGATTAAAATATTAGATAATCAGCTAATTACACAACCAGATAATTAGCTGATAAAACAACTAGACAATGAGCTGAATAAGCAACTAGATAATCAACTGATTAAACATCTAGATATTCAGCTGATTAAAGAACTAGCTAATAAGCTGATTAAACAATAAGATTATCAGCTGATAAAACAACTAGATATTCAGCTGATAAAGCAACTAGATAATCAGTTTATTAAATAACTAGATAATCCGCTGATTAAATGACTAGATAATCGGTTAATTAAACAACAATATATCAGCTGATAAAACAACTAGATAATCAGCTAATTTAAAAAGTAGATAGTCTGCTGATAAAACGACTAGATAATCAGCTGATTAAATAATCAGATAATCAGCTAATTAAACACAACTATATAATCAGCTAATTAAACACAACTAGATAATCAGCTGAATAAACAATTAGATATTCAGTTGAGTTATAACAAGATAATCAGCTGATTAAATAGCTATTTAATCAGCTTATTAAACAACTAGATAATCAGCTGTCTATGCAACTATTTCATCAGCTAATTAGACAACTAAACAATTAGCTGATTAAACAACTAGATAATCATCTGATTAAAGAACTAGAGAATCAGCTGATTAAAGAACTAGATAATCAGCTGATTAAAGAACTAGAGAATCATCTGATGTAAAAAGCATTATCACGCAATGTTTTCAGATATTGATTTTCTGTTTAAAACAAACTCAGGATTTTATGTTTATGGAGATTTAAACAATATTTGACTGATCAGCTTAAATAAAATAATAGTCAGAAAAAATAAAAGCTCAATTTTCAACTAAATATTTATTTAAATAATATTAAATAACACATTATTGTAATCAACCATACTTTTGGATGTTGA